ATGCAAGCTACCTTCCTTGCAAATGACACAGAGGGGGGGGGTCCCCCGCCCCCTTCTTTTATAGCCACCAGGAGCACGGACCGAGGAGAGATCAACTGTACAAATGAAGCACCTCTGACAATGCTTTGGAAGACCAATTGACGCGACCGATGATGCATGCACAAAGCATCAGAAACCGAAGTGGCCCCGACATGCAACGGTTACAACCATTAATTGCACCGGTTCGACCCTCAGTACCGGTCCACCCATCGATGCGGATCCTCGGTGGACCGCCCAAGAACGTCAGCCCAACCAGAATGCTCAACACCAACTGGAACCTAGCCCTGACGCCAGACAAGGCGACACAACCACACAACAGGCCGGCCGAGCATTCCCCCTTCTCGACAGCAGAACTGGGGGAATTGTTCGAAAACCAAAATTTTGGATCTTATTTAAGTTCTACAACCAACGATCGGAGGATTCCTCGGCAACAACCAACACTGCACGGATAGCGAAAGAACTAGACAACTACTCGAAAGCTCCTCAGCTGAGCAACGAACCAGGTGAACTTCTTCTCTCAACTTCAAAACTAGGGGAGTGGTGTTGGGGTCATGGTTGATTTGGCCCTGAGAGACACGTGGCCACCCAGCCACGTCAACTAAATGCCCCACAGATAAGCTCAACCGTAGATAAGGGGGTGGGAAGACAACTCCACCGAGGAGTAGGGCTCTCCCCCGATAACCTCGGCGGAGAGCTCCATCCCGATCTCCCCGGAAGCCTAATCCGACCAGGAGATGAAACCCTGACTATAAAAAGGTGCTCCATGCTCAAGGTAAGGGATTTGGACCTTTAGCACTCACATTGTTATCTTTCTCGGACCAACAACCTCATTGCTCGGCCCGACCATTCACCGCCCTCTCACTAAGTTGAGCATCGGAGTGTCTACCTGAGGACAACTCCTCAGGCCTCTGATTTTTCTCTTGATCACAGGTTACATAGTGCGGCACCGTCCTTGTAAGCTCGGCACCGCCCAATCAACAAGGATCATTTGGTTGCTCTCCCCAGTTCATACACCACCTCGGATTGAGCAGCATCATATACATATATATATATATATATATATTTGAGTAAATTAATGTTTTATAATTAACAAAAAGTGAGAAAATCTCCACAACAAGGAGATGTGAGGAGCTATACAAAAAGCTTTACAAGACCAATATATACTAGATACAAAAAGTGAATCCTTCTCAAAAAATTTCCCTATAGGGTATACCAAAGTCTTATGTACTGTAACCCAAGAATATATTCTGTTCCATTTGTTCTTTACAATATATTCATTTGAAGAGTTACACTGTTAATAATTTGGTTGTTTCTTTCTACCTAAATTGTCCAAATCACTACTGGTGGGATCACCCCCCAAGATCTCTTTCCTGATTCTCTCCCTTTCTCCCCCTCTTCTTCTTCTTCCCCCATTTCACAAAACATTATTATTTTTTTTATTTTCTTCCTCCTCCTCTATGACTGGCTTTTCAATAACACGACTTTAATAATAGCGACAATGAAAATCAAGAATTTTTCTACTTGCCCAATTGAGAGAAAAACATGTTTCTCCAACAAATACCTTTCTTAAACCCAATAATGACTTTTGTATATATGGCACAAAAGCCAAGAGATTTTTTTTTCCTATTGCATAACCCATGGAGAAAAGAAAATTCCAATTTAAGGCCTATTCGTTTGCTCTGAAGTCTGACATCTGGAAGTGAAATAATTACATTAAGAGGTATATTGGTATTGGTGAACTTTTCTTTCCTCTGAACTCTGAATGTAGAGAATGTTGTTTTGAATTCTGAATTTTGAATTCTAAAAATTATCAACCCCATATATGAGAGTTTTTGTTTGTCTTTTTGGGGATATCATTGGAAAACAAAAAGTTGTATGGTTATGCTTTAAGAGATAAGAGATAAGAAGAAACGAATAACCATTTTTCTCTTAAAGTTAAAAGATTCCTCTTAAGAAATAAGAGTTAAGAGGAAACGAATAAGCCCTTAGTTTCAATGTAAAGGGCCTTTGTCTTTGCAAAGCTCTTATGAATCTTAAAAAACAGGGGAATTATTTATTGAGAGGAAAATAAAGTTTGGGTTGTGTGGCAGTAGAAGGGTTTGACGTAATTCCAATTCAAAGTAGTGAATGACCAACCAACAGGACAAAATAGTAGATTGAACTAAAATAGACAATATGTAAAGAAGCATCATGAGTCTTGATCAACTAGGTGAAGGCACTATTAGAGAAGAAAAGCAACTTTGCTTTCCTTTTAATTGGGTAGGAAGAGCAATCATTGCGCTCTTGTTTTGTCCCTATTTCTATTATTTTTATTTTTATTTTTATTTTGGGGTGACTTCCCATTAGGAAGGGCCTAACCTCTCTATCTTTTTGCTCGGACATGCCTCATCTAACTCCCATGTGTTGTTGATAGGGGTGAGCAAATGGGTAGGTTCTACCCAAAACTGAATGGAACCAACCTCGAACTGGCCTTGAGCCGGCCCTACCCAATCTGTTATAGGGTAGGGTCTGGTTCAAAATTCTTGGAACTGACCTCCACCCAGGCCAGCTCCAAGGTCTAGGAGTTTGCCCTACTCGAACCGACCTTGGTTGGCCTTGGTGGAACTTGCCTTGGAATCGAAATTTCCTTGAAATAGACCCCAAAATACTTTTGGGGATTTAAAGATTTGAACCCAAACAATCATGTTTACAAAGGCCCTAGTCTCACTTGATCATTGTGTTACTTAAGTTATTTAATGATTTGTTTTTCATTTTTAATATTTGAATGTGTACAATAAATAATGTAAAAGGTAATATTTACAAAATTTAAATTATAAATTTTGAACCATACAATGATAATCTACATATTAAGTTACCCAATTTCATCAATAAAGATAATATAAGTTTTAAACTATATATTATATTTATTGAAAATCAAGTTTTTAAACAACTTGCTTCATTTCTTTTTTGAAGGGGTAGTAAAGAAAGAATAAGTTCCACAGGTAGACCCTAGACCGACCCTGGAACTGACCTTTATAGGGTAGGTTCTAGTTCCATGCTCACCCCCTAGCTGTCAATGTGGTTGATTCTCATTTGGACTAAAGAATGGTTTGAAGAATGGAGACAATCAACTGTTGTGTTTGGAGGAGGGAGACAATAGTGGCAATGAACATGAGCGTTTGGATTTGGGAATTTAAGAAAGGGAAATTTGGTTCAAAAAATGTCAACATTTTCTCCCAATATCTGTTTTTATAGTTTGTTCCTAATCACAAGGTTCTTGGTTGACCAACCATTGGGATTCCATACATTGGTACTCCTCCATGTGACCATATTCATTCATGTTGGTTGTTTCCACCATGCTACTTTTGATGAGGGCTGGTAGTGAGGGACATACCTGTTAAGAGCCTAAGATTCTCAAGTTGAGAGGAGAAACTAGGGGACTATGAGAGGAGGAAGAAGATGAAAGAAAAATGGGTCCTATGGGTACAAAACCTCTCCTTCTCACTGCTTTGTTTTTTTTTTTTTTTTTGAAAACATATATGATTTTAAATGGTCATACTTTATCATTTTTATGTAAAAGCCATAATCAAATCCTTTAAAAATGAATCCATCTATACTACTTATAAAAGTGTGAATGAGGTGTAATTTTCTAGAATTTTCATTGAACAAAATTTGCCCCTTCAACTTGAGTTATATAAGGGGTAAATGTGTATTTTGATAAAACTTTAACTAAGAAGGTTGAAATTGCACTAATCATTTATACTATACTATTATCTATACTATATAAAAGTACACATACGGAGAGAAAGTTTTTTTATACTAAAATTACCCTCCATTTCTTTGTTTGAGAAATGGTATAAAAGTCATTTTATCACAGTTTTAATTGCTACTAAAATGCCTATATTCGTGTATTTAGTCTGTCTCTAATTTTAAGGGTTGAAAAGGTAACTTTAATTATTATTTTCCACCTCATTTAATCCCCTTTTATTAAGTCTTATACGTAAGTATTTAACTTCCATTTTCTCTTATTAAATCCTATATTTAAGTTATTTTCACTAATAAATACTATTGATTAGATCCATGTCAATATTTTTAACAATATAAACTCATATATTTTAAAACTGACTTAAAAACAAAACCATTCTTTATCAAAGTGGTGGCTAAGCAATTCAACCATCCAGATCAATTTATGAAGTCATAGTTAGGTAATAAAATTTTAAAAATATAAATAAATATAAAAAATTACAAAGAATGTAGAGTAAAATAGGCACATTTATGATATTTTTATTTTTATTAATCAAATTAAAAAAGTAAGTGTAATAAACAAGAATTATTTTTATTGATAATGAAAATGAATTATATAATTTAGAATTGACCAAAATTATTTTTACTCAGAAAATACAATATATATATATATATATATATATATATATATATATATATATATATATANATATATATATATATATATATATATATATATATATATATATATATATAATTGAACACATCTATAATTCTACATTTACACTACTATTAAAAATATATATAAGATTATGGAACTTTATTTTGACTAAAATATTCATTTTTGAATTTAGTCCTTATTTAATTATGAAATTTAAAACCTTAAATTGTAAATTGAACTACTACTTTTAACCTCATTCAATATTTAAATTTTATTTTTTTTTAATAAATGAACAAAAAATATAAAAAAAAATAAAATATTACAAAAAGAAGAATCTAACCAAGTAGGTAGGCCTCTCAATGATACTTGAAACTTTATAACTTCATCTGATTATTATATATTTGAATAAAATATTTATATAACACCCAATTAATAATATAAAACAAAATAAAAAAAATAATTTTACATATTTATATATAAACTAATTTTATATATTTAAATAAGATATTTATACATTATTATTATCATTATTATCTTCTATACATTATTACTATCTAACACTCTCTCCAACGTCACAGAGCACATCAAACAATTCCGGATGACAAATACGGAAGGTTCAACGCTGAAATGTCCCAAGTCTACGGTTGGTACGGTAAAGGCCAGCGAGAATATTGTTCAGGAGACAATACTCACAGCTGTCTTCTCCGGTTCATTCGGTTGATCAGATTTTTATCTTCGCATCATATATTTCTTTTTTCCTGAGATCCCTTTTGCTCTGTGTCTCTAATTTTGGAGTCTCTTTTGCGGAGAATTTTGGATTCCTTTTGATTCCACTTCTTCGAATATCCAGAGAGGTGCATCTTTTTTTTTTTTTTACCTTTTTTATCGCATTAATTTTCATTATTAACTCTTCCCATTGAATTTATGCTTATGTTTATGTTTTCTGCTGTTTATCTTTCTTTTGCATGGATGAATTCTTAAAGAAATTACAGTTTTCATTTTTCAAGAAAAGTTTCTTTTATATGCTTTTTCATACTCTGGTTTTTTATGGGATTTTTCGTGTTTTGGCTGGGTTTCGATTTCCTTATTTTGGCTTCCGCCTGTTGGAGATTTTCTTCTTTTCATTTCAGTTTTTTAACATAAAAAAAAAATCTTTTTGAAGGAAGTTTTCCATGTCTCAGTTCCACCTATCGTACTTGTTGCTTTATCTTGTTGAAATTTGTATCTGTTTATTTTGTTCTTACTTTTTTTTTCAAGTTTTGATTTTCTATTCCTGAATGATGCTTAAATCCGGCTGCATTCTTATTTTTTCCTCCTTTTTTTCTAATTGAATTGGTAATAGGTTATTCTTTTTTCTTTATCAGTTAATCTCAATCTGCTTGTATATCTTCTTGATCTTGTAGGCCGTTCTGGATTAAATAAATGGCAATTCGGACAGCCCATATTTCCCTTGCTGTTGCAGCATTTGGTGCGCTGTCCTTCGTACTTGGAGTAATTGCTGAAAATAAGAAGGTTATTTTTCTAAACAAATTTCTTAATTTTTATGTAGAATATGCGAATAAGAAGTAACTGCTTTTTTCCCTTGCAATTTTGATGCTTCAGGTTATGCTCTTGAATATTCAGAGGATAATTAATCACTGGCAGTCTGCCATGAACATCTTTTGGGTCTTTTAATGTGGATCAGAATTAGATAGATTTAAGTACATATTTGCATCCATGAAATATAAATTCAAAATAACGCTATAATTGCTACTGGTTTCAGTGTTAGACACGAAATGAGCACATCTGATATTCAAAATGTTTTTGCTGTGTCAAATTTTCTACTTGCAAGGCTGAAATGGATAGCCTTCATGATTGGAAAATCATCTGTTGGAAAGCTTTTATACTATACTTGGTATGTAAATCTATAGGGAAAAAAAGGTTTCATGGAGAGGTTTTGGGTTTCCTTGTTGATTTTTTTTTTTACCTGTTCTACTCCTATATGTCTACTTATGGCTTAAGAATGTCTTACACATGTTTTGTTTTAGCTTTCTCTAAGTCTTCCTAAGATTTGATATGTTAAAATGCCAATGAAGTTACAGCGCTGACAATTTCTGTCCCAACCCGGCCTGTTTTCTTTCTAGGTCTTAAATGGGTAGATGTTATGAAAGACATTTGTTCAGCAAGTAGGAAATGATATATCACTAAAAACAGCTGTATGACTCTAAAAGTCAAGGTTTTGAACCAAATCCAGGAGTATAGTAATTGATGTACCATGAGAGAACCTTGAATCTCTGACAACCAACATCATGATTACCATGAATGACGTTAACCGTAAAAACTGTGGGCCTGGAAGCAATATGTACTTTTAAAGGGATTCAGAGCCATTCAAGATGGTCTGAAGTAATCTTTTGATCCCTACCGAACTACTCAGGCATGATTATCAGCCATTGTCACTTTTGAAACCCCTGCATATTTATAAAGTGAACCATCTAAAATCAGTGGCAAGTCAGAGATTGATCTGTGTTTGATAACTTTTCTGGATTCCAAAATCAACTTTTGAACCTATCCTCAGAGCCAATTTCCTATTCTCATTCAGCCTGAAAAATCATCATGGTTAATCAACTACTTGGTCCTTGCATGCATTGTTTTCACATGGTCAATCTTTTTCATTGTATTCATTGTTATTATTCTTAGAAAAGTTTTGGTTCCAAGTCTACACAAATATCTGTTTTTTTGGGGCTGGGCCGTTTGTTATATTAAATGCAAAGAATAGAAAAAAGAAATTGATATAGAAGAATAAATAGAGAGAGAAAAGATAGTTTAAGTTTCAGTGGTTTGTTGGTGAAGCAGAGGACCTTTCATAGTTGTCAAGGGTTCTGGGCAATTCTGGGCGACAGTGGGATGCCTAGTCACCTAGGTGATAAAAATTGAAAAATAAATAAATTTTGGTTTGTTCCCTAGTTCCATATACCTACAAGCATGCATATTAATTAATTAAAAAAGATAACAATTCTTTATTAAGAACATTAAATTTCCTCTCGAAACATGGTAAATTATCATATCAAAAACACAATAGTATTTTTTAATATATTTTATCCTCATTTCCTTCTTCCTTTTTCTCTTCTCAAAACCCTAGAATTTTTTAAATTCAATAGTAAAACTTCAAAGCAAATTATCTCAGGCTGGCAAGAGGTTCAAGTCTGAGGATGGCCGCTTTGTGCAAAAAAAAAAAAAAGTGCCAAAGATAGAACCATTCCCAGTCTACCCCTCCCAAGACCTCAGATAGCTAGGATCAACATTGGGTAATGTCCTTTTTTTATATAATATATAATAGAATGTACTGACACAGATATTAATAAGATGTAGTAATAATAATGATATTATAATAAGACACCCATCTTATGATTATTTTTCTGCTAGGTAGGTGGCTATAGTTCAAGGTGTTCAAGTGAGGTGCCCAACCAAGGGCGCCTAGGCGACACACACCTTGACAACTATGACCTTTTTTTCTCTTACCAAAAAAAAAAAAGAGAAAGAAAAACTATTTGGTACTGCTTTAGCCAAAAGAAATGGGGTGAGATACTAAAAGGGAAAGGTTTTCACTAATGAAGAGAGATACATTCATAATTTAGAAAGAGGAAAACACATTTTACATCTGTGAAAGGGTGGAAAAGTTGATCCAAGAAGGAAACAAAATTCACCTCTTTTGGAAATGAGAAACTATGAAAAGACATGTAGAAAAGGAGCATTCCAGTTCCTTTATTTTAATAAAAATTCTAAAAAGCAAGAAATTTTGAAGGGTCTATACAGACAAAGATTGCAACTTGTCCTACCATATATATCTTTAAAAATAGCATCCCCCATGATTCCACTAATCCATTCCCTTCAAAGTTCTTGCAAATTCTAGCCACTGCCTCCTTTCCCCTCTCCCTTATCTTCACCACTAGTGGGGCTCCATGCGATGCACGACAAAATCCAATAACCAATATGATGATAGAAGGGATTAAAAGTGTTAGAGTTAGCCGAATGAGGGTTAGATTAGTCTTTTTCAGTCAATTTAAGTTATGTGCTTATGTGGCAGTTCTAATTAGACTTCCTGTCCCATACTTAAGTGGGGGCAGTATAGTCATTATACTTAATTAAACCCTTAATTCATATTATGGTCAAATGGTAGGGTTTAGGCTACCATGTTTGACTGATTTCTTCTTCTTCTTCTTCTAGTTTGAACTGCTGAAGCCATTGAACAAACATGGTATCAGAGCAAGACGTTGCTCTCTAAATCTGCTCCTCTCTGATCGTGACTTCCTTTTTCTTCTTTCTGGACTGAAAATGGAGAACACAGACTCGACCTAGTTTTGAGAACACTTCGGTCCTTCTTCCTCTGCTCAGAACTGTTTTTCAAGAAAATAACTCCAAAAGTAAGTGGATGGTCGACTGAAGCTCTCCATCGAGGTTGGTTACCTTTTTTTTCTTCTGTTGGTATTTCTACGTTGAAAGCCTTCAAAAAAATCTGCTTGGACTGATTAGAACCTAAAGAACTAGGTTGTTTGTAGCCTTGGTTCTTGGAAAAAAGTCCAAGAACAGGTTGTGTTTACAGTGACCGAATGGTGTAAGGATATGTTTGACCCTTTTGTGTGGGTCTGTAGATTGTTTTGAAACCTTTGTTGGTCACAAGTGACCTGAATCGACTGACAGGTTACTGCAGTGGGAGTAGTTGATGTTTTTTTTTGGACTTGTAGTGCCCTCTGAAAAGGTCAGATAGACCTGTACCATGTGTGACAGTTATGGTCGTGTGGTGGTGTTTGTGATGCTCATCCTCTATTGAGCAACTTCAAGAGTGCTTGTATGTGGTTAGTGAGCTGCTGAATTAATGTCATTGTGATTTATGGTTCTGTGAAATCAATAGTGGTGTGAACAAGAACAGAAGTTTGTGTTTTTTTTTGGCTAGAAGGAATGAGTGAATTGCCTACATCAATTTTCTTCCTTGTTGGTGCTGTCTGAATGCTGGTTTACCTTTTGTTCATAATCTAAATGGTAGTTTACACAGTGGTGATTGATTGTGACTGGTTGTGAACTTATCATCTGTGTTTGGAGATTGCTGTAGTGTCTGGAACATCAAACTCCTGACAGCAATACTCGGTTGGTGACTGGGGATTCAGCATTAGAAGTAGCATTGGGAGGGCATCTTGGCAGCAACTGGAGATGGTTGTAGTGATCAGAAACCTAGTGTGGTGATTCCCTCTGACTATTTGGGTGTGCATATGACTTCAATTAAACTTAATGGTGAGAATTATGTGCCATGGGCCAAGTCAGTAGAAGTTTTTCTCAAGGCAAAGAGAAAAGTGAAGCATGTGAAGGAAGATAAAACCATCAACTGACTCTTCAGGGTTTGATGACTGGGAATAGGAAGATGCCCAACCATGACATGGTTATGGAATAGTATGGAACCCAAAATAAGTGCCAACTTTATGTTCTTAGATACAGCTAAGGACATATGGGAACATGCCAAGAAGCTTTATTCTAGGCAGGATAATACTACAAGGGTATATCAACTCTATCAGGAGTATTTTGATCTGCAACAAGGGAATAAAACCCTAGAAGAGTACTATGCCAATATGAAAAACCTCATAAATGAACTAAATGTCTATCATCCCCTAACTCTAGATGTTAAGGTTCAACAACAACAGAGGGAGCAACTGGATGTCACTAGGTTCTTAGTGGGGCTGAAATCAGAGTATGAACCAGTTAGGCCCAAATTTTGGGAGGTTCTACTCTTCCTACACTTGAGGAAGTATTTGCAAAGGCTTCGCAGGATCTCCTTGGGTTCTATAGAGAGTACCACACTGTCTGATAGATCAGGATTTGTGGTAGCCAGAGGAGGTGGACGTGGTAATAGAGGGGGAGGACATGGATCTCGAGGAGGTTGTGGTGGTTCTATATTTGGCCGTGGTGGTGGTTGTGACTCAAGGGGAGACCGTGGTAAAGGAAAAGGTAACTCTACTAGGAAGTGTACCCATTGTGGCAAGGAAGGACATTCGGCGAATTTTTGTTATAATCTCCATGGCCCACCTTCTACATGGGAAAATCATGCGGCAGCTGGTGGGGTTGATGTCAGTGATAACCAACAGCCATATCTCACACCTTCCACATCTACATTTATTTCTAAGAAGGAGATGATGAGTGTACCGCGCGATGAGTATGAGAGGTTCCTTCAAACTACTTCACAACATACTACTGCCACCATTGCTCACTCAGATATTGCTTGTCTGGCATCCAAACCCTCTCCCTGGATTATTTACTCTAGAGCCTCTGATCACATGACCGGGACTCCAGGTGTGTTCTCTTCCTTCTCTAAAACTTCCACATCTCAAACTGTTACCCTTGCCAACGGTTCCTCTTCTCCCATCTGTGGTGTTGGTAATGTTGACACGACTTTTTCTTTATCATTTGTTCTATATGTACCTAAATTTCCATTCAATCTTATGTCAGTTAGTAAATTAACTAAGGCCCTTAATTGCTCTATTACATTTTCCCCTTCGTTTTGTGTTTTCAGGATCTCAAGACTGAGAAGAAGATTGGTGGAGGGCATGAAGCTGGCGGATTGTATTATCTTAATGATGGTGGATCATTAATTGCACTTCAAACTTCCCTCACTCCTCTATAATGGCATTGTCGGCTGGGACATCCATCCCTTTAGGCACTCAAGATACCGGTTCCGTCTTTGAGTCATTTGTCGTCTTTACAGTGTGAGTCGTGTCAATATGGGAAACACCATCGTGTTTCCTTCAGTCCTAGAGTTGATAGTTTACAAGTATTTTGTCACTTTTATTGATGATTGTTCAAGGATAACATGGATTTTTTTAATGAAAGAAAGGAGTGAATTATTTTCCATTTTTCAAAAATTCCATGCTGAAATACGTACGCTATTTGGTGTTCCAATCAAAGTTCTTCGTTTAGATAATGGTCGTGAATAATTCCTCACTTCTTTTCAACAGTATTTAAAACAACATGGCATCATTCATCAAACTTCATGTGCATCCATCTCTCAGCAAAATGGGGTGGCTGAATGAAAGAACCGTCATCTCCTTGAAGTTGTTCGGTCTATTCTTCATCATATGAGTGTTCCTAAACGTTTTTGGATGACGTTGTGCTTACTGCTTGTTTTCTTATTAATCGGATGCCCTCCTTCATCCTTCATGGCCGGTCTCCCTTTTCTATTTTGTTCCCCACCTTGTCTCTCTTTTCATTAACACCCCGGGTCTTTGTCTGTGTGTGCTTTGTTCACAATCTGAGTCCTGGGTTAGACAAGCTGGATGCACGCTCTATTAAGTGTATCTTTCTTGGCTACTCTCGGACCTAGAAAGGGTATAAGTGTTACAATCCCATTACTTGAAAGTTCTATGTCTGTCCTGATGTCACGCTTTTCGAGTCTGTCCCATTACCGTCACCTTTTCCAGTGTAGATTCCTATTGAACGACCACCGATCTGGCAAGTGTATACTCGTCGACAGACACCGACACCTCCTTCGACTTCTACCTTGTCTACAGATCCTGTTGTTGCTCCTGTCCCAGAATCTTCTGAGCTTGATCTTCCCATTGCTTTACGGAAAGGTAAATGTAGTTGTACCCTACATCCCATTTCTAATTTTGTTTCAGTCTCTCACATTTTCGCTTCACATTGCCAGTTTGTTTCTCTTGTCATCTATCTCTATACCTAAGGATGTCCAAGAGGCCCTTACTTCACCCGGGTGGCATCAAGCAATGGAGGAGCTCTCTGCTCTTCAGCATACTCACACGTGGGAACTCACTACTCTTCCTCCAGGTAAGCATGTTGTGGGTTGTAAATGGGTGTATACTGTTAAATACTTGTCGGATGGTAGTGTGGAGCGTTTGAAGGTCTAACTTGTTGCTAAAGGTTATTCTTAGCTATATGGGGTGGACTATATGGAGACCTTCTCTCTAGTGGCAAAGGTTAGCTCAGTCCGTGTCTTAATTTCCCTGGTAGTTATGTATGATTGGCCCTTGTTTTAACTTGACATTAAAAATGCCTTCCTTCATGGGGACCTCATGGAGGAGGTATATATGGAGCAACCACCTGGGTTTGTTGCTCAGGGGGAGGATGGTAAGGTGTGTAGACTAAAAAAGGCAATTTATGGGTTGAAACAATCTTCTCGTGCTTGATTTGGGAAGTTTACTGAAATGGTGAAGAATTTGGAATGAAACAATGCCGGGTTGACCACTCAGTGTTTAGCTATGATTCAGAAGCCGGAAAGATTTTATTAGTAGTCTATGTGGATAACATTGTCATAACTAGTAGTGACAAATTGGGGATTGATAAACTAAAGGTCTTCCTGCAAGAACATTTTCAAACAAAAGACCTTGGGAAGTTGAAGTACTTTTTGGGTATAGAAGCTGTCAGATCAAAACAAGGTGTAAATCTATGCCAAAGAAAATGTCCTTGATCTACTGGATGAAACAGGACTATTAGGTGTGAAACCGGCCGAAACTCCCATGGAACCAAATGCTAAGTTGAGTAGTGATACAGGTGAATATTTGATGATCTTGAAAGATACAAATGGTTAGCGGGGAAGCTAAACTATCTGACTATCACAAGACCAAACATCTCCTTTGCAGTCAGCATGGTGAGCTAATTTATGCAGAATCCTCGGATACTTCACTGGGATGCAATTCTTAGAATTGTAAGGTACCTGAAGGGAGCTCCAGGCCGTGGGTTATTGTACAAACCAGGAGGAAGACTTGAGGTAGTTGGGTATACAGATGCAGATTGGACAGTCTCTATGTCAAATAGAAGATCTACTACATGTTACTACACATTCCTTGGAGGCAATCTAGTGACATGGAAGAGTAAGAAGCAGACTGTTGTGGCAAGGAGTAGTGCTGAAGCTGAATAGAAAGTCATGTCACACACTACGTGTGAATTAGTATGGCTGAGAAACCTCTTACAAGAAATTGGATTCACAATGGACAGACCTATGAGATTGTATTGTGATAATCAAGCTTCAATTTACATCTCATCTAATCCTGTTTTTCATGAGAGAACAAAGCACATAGAGATTGATTGCCACTTTGTGAGGAAGAAAGTCCTTACTGGAGAAATAAGCACAGAACATGTGGGCTCAGGTGATCAGTGGGCTGGTTTGTTTACAAAAGGTTTAAACTCAGGGAGAGTGAACTATATATGTAACAAGCTGGTATTATACGACATATATTCTCTAGCTTGAGGGGGAGTGTTAGAGTTAGCCGAATGAGGGGTAGATTAGTCTCTTTCAGTCAGTTTAAGTTATGTGCTTATGTGGCAGTTCAAATTAGACTTCCTGTCCTATACTTAAGTGGGGGCAGTTTAGTCATTGTACTTAATTAAACCCCTAATCCATATTATGGTCGAATGGTAGGGTTTAGGCTACCTTGTTCGACTCTTCTTCTGGTTCGAACTGCTAAAGCCACTGAACAAACAAAAAGAAATGAAATCAAAGGAGTCTTCTAACATTTTGAATTGGGCCAAGTTGGTCCCACTCCAATCCAAGCATTATTTTGGGTGATTTACCTAAAAATTTAATTTTGTTAATTAAAATAAATTTTTTATTAATTTTAAAATTTAAACTTAATGTAATTATTTTGATTAAATTCCACTTAATGAATTATTCTTTCTTTTATATCAATTAATTATAAACTTTTATCAAGGAGAGTTTATCAAAAGAGAACATTAAAGAGGGTGGATAAAAAAATATTGAGAGTATTAATGGAGCACATCCATTTTCTCCTATACTCTTTGGCAAATAAAGAGGGGTGACCGGGTGTGTCCTCTTTCATAAAAAAGGGTTGTGTCCATATTGTTCATAGAGTACTTTATTAGACCATTAGCAAAAAAAAAAAAAGGTTCAGGCCATTCACTTAGCACTACAAATATTGAATTTATAAAAAAACTACCTTCTCTCTCTACAGAAAAGAATAATTCGGAAAAGTAAAAACAGAAAAATTTTAACAAAAAACAAAGAATATATTAACAGGGCAATACTAACACGAATTATAATGTTTACATATCTCTCTTTCTAGTCAGGTTTCATGCTAAATTCTCCATAAAAGTGTATATCCCATCCCTCGTTTCTTCATGGTAAGGTGAATGATCATGAAATTCAAACTCTCTCTCATATATAGAGTTCTTCATTGAATACAATTCTTCCTCACTGGAAGAATCAGAGACATTGATCTTACCTTTATCAAAATCAGATTTTCAATTTCTATGCTTGTCTTTAAAAAATAATAATCATATTACTATAATTAAAACTATTTTTAACATGTTAGAAATTAGAATTTAGCTAAAGGGGTCAAAAACTGATTTTAACACATTTTTGTTGCATGTCAGTCCAACCATGGACAGACCACTCCATTATTAACTCTATCTCGAACATGTGTAAGGTGAACTATAAGGGAGATGGATATCATGAAAGACATGGGTTGTTTGAAAACAGATCAGATCAAACCTATTTTCAACCATCTTCTTCACTTGATTCAATTTATTGAGTGTATTTTCCCAGCTAAATTGTCACCAATGGAGGGACCAACCCATGTTGTAGAAAACTAGTCGTAAACCTGTATTTGATACACATCACAATGATCCCATATAAAAATTCAAAAGGCACCTCTCTCCATCTAAGTACAATTGCGGGTGGGGGTGACATCTTGTCACCTAATTATGATGTACTGTTTTTCCTTTTAGCAATATTTTTTTTTTATTTATCTTCAATAAAAAAGTACATGGTTCTGCTCTGTCCCCTATCACCCAGCCTGAACATCTTTGCACAAACAATGCTAACCTATACCATACCATCCAGAAGTTCCTGTCTTCTTAATGGCACAACTCTCCTGCTTTCTCTTTCTCTCTGCCCCCTTATTCTTCTTCTCTCTTCCTTTTTTTTTTTCCACCGATCCCACTGCAAAGAAATACTCTTCCTCTTTTCTGAGTTTTCCATTCGATAGGAGTGACATCGGCCATCCATAAAGTTAAAGAAACAAATATAAACGTAAATTCTAATAAAATCTAGTGCACTTAAAGCTCTAATTTAAGCAATTTGATCAAGTTAAAGGAGTATGTAAAGTTACAGGAAATGAATAAGTAAGAACCACTAAAATTTTTCTTGATAAGATAGCAATTAACCATGAGTAATTTCCTCAATAATTTCAGTGCAATGGAGGACCTAACAATGCAATAAAAGGTTGGCAAGGGATGCTTGTGGGATAATCTAAGACATCATCCTTAAGCCTTTGCTATTTGCTAAGGAATAAAAATGGCAAAATTGGATCAACATGCTCAGAGATGCCCCTGAGAAAAGATGAACTGAACAACTAAATAATTTGAGTGAGGGTTGACACATATAATTACATTTCCCACAAAGAGAACTAAACTGTAGTAAAGTAATCAACAACCATTTCTCAGAAAGTAACAGAACTTACTTTTTCAGATATACTAAGAAAAATGATTCTAGTACCTGTATAGGGGCAACATGAAGACAAAAGTTGACACCAAGTAGCTTTGGCATCAATTGTTGCAATTTGCAAAAACATTTTCCGGTAGCTTACTGAAAAATATAAGAATATCAGGCACATTAGAATTAGGGGATGTAACATCTAGTTCTGCCCTTTCTAGCTGCAACATGAGAGGCATATTAAATGAACCCCCACTAATATTGTGTGGTTGAATACAACATTACTAATTAAAACTCCTAGGGGAACAATATCCATAAATTAGCAAATTCGAATCAGGCAGA